TGCTTCCCCCTCTGTGTCTCTGCCTCTCTCCTGTGTCTCTCATAAATAAATAAATAAATAAATAAATAAATAAATAAATAAATAAATAATCTTAAAAAAAAGTGGAAAACACTGTGGAGGTTCCTCAGAAAGTTAAATATACCACATGATCCAATGATTCCACTACTGTATATTTGCCCAGAGAAAGTGAAAACACTGATTTGAAGAGATCCATGCACCCCCTGTTTTTTGCAGCATTATACACAAAAGCCAAAATGTGGTCTCTTCGTATGATGGAACAGTATTCAGCCATAAAAGGACTGATCCTGATGCACACTACAGCATGGATGAGGCTTGAAAACATGCTAAGTGGAAAAGAAGCCAGACCCAAAAGACCGCATATCATACAATTGCATTTATACGAAATATCTAGGATCGATCAATCCATGCAGACAACATCGATTAGTGATCGTTCAGAGGTTCTGGGGGAGGAATGGGAGAGACTGGAAATGGGCACAGGGCTTCCTTCTGGGGCGATGGAAAGTTTTGGAACTAGATAGTGGCGATGAATGTATTAGATGCCACTCTGAAGCAATCTCCAGGAGGGGGGGCTCTGGGGTATTTTTAATTTATTTTTATTTTTATTTTTTTTTAGGATTGTATTTATTTATTCATGAGAGAGAGGCAGAGACACAGGCAGAGGGAGAAGCAGGCTCCCTGCCGGGAACCTGATGCAGGACTCGATCCCGGATCCCAAGATCACGACCTGAGCCGAAGGCAGACGCTCAACTGCTGAGGCCTCCAGGCATCCCTGGAGGTATTTTTTTATTAGTGACTCTTTGAGTCTATGCATTTTGTCTTAGCCTACGTGTCTGATCTTTATCCTTTATTTGGATCAAATAAGTCACATCAATATAGTTAACATTTTGGTTTTGCCGGTAGCATTTTATCTTGGCTTTCTATTTGTCACACTCATTCTGTTTCCACTTTTGCTTCTTTTTTGAAGGGATTGTTTTAAAATAACGTCCTACTTTTTCTTCTCGATTACTTTGGAAGTCATACACTCTATACTACGGTTGCCCATGAGGTTACAGCAAGTATGCTTAATATGTGGTGGTGGTAGGCTGAATGATCGCCCCCAGAGAGGTCCAGGTCCAAATCCCTAGAGCCTGTGAGCGTGATCTCATATGGCAAAAGGGTTTTGAAAATGATTAAGATTTTTGAGCAGGGGTTGTCCTGATGGGCCTAATGCAATCACACAAGTCCTTACTGGAGAGAGGCAGGAGGAGATTGGCCTGCAGAAGGCGGCAAGATGCTACTAGCTTTACACATGGAGGACTAGGCCAAGAACCAAGGAATGCAATTCTAGGACCTGAAAGACCAAGGAAATAGATTTCCCCCAGAGCCTCCTGAGGGAGGAGCACAGTCCAGACAACATGTTGATTCCAGCATAGTGAAAACTGACTTTGGACTGCTGCCCTCCCAAACTATTAGAGAATAAGTTTGTGTTAAATCACTAAGTTTCTGTTACGCCAGCGGTAAGAAACTAATACACCTACCAAAATCTAAAACTAATAACTTTAGATTGCCTCCCGGGTAATACAAAGACTTAAAAGCACTCCAGGGGGATCCCTGGGTGGCTCAGCGGTTTAGCACCTGCCTTTGGCCCGGGGCGCGGTCCTGGAGTCCCGGGATCGAGTCCCACGTCGGGCTCCTGGCATGGAGTCTGCTTCTCCCTCCTCCTGTGTCTCTGCCTCTCTCTCTCTCTCTCTATGTCTATCATAAATAAATAAATAAATCTTAAAAAAAAACACTCGACTGTCATTGAGTCATCATGACTCAGTTATTAGTTTCATGTCTATCGAGGTTTTTTTCTTTCTAACCCCATAGACACTATTTTATATGTACTCAATGTTTGCATTTACCACTTTGTTGTTCATCCCTACTTACATCTCCTGCTTGTCCCCAGGCTCCCTTTCCTTCTGCTTGAAGTATAACCTTCACTAGAGTCAGGAGACGGTGAGGCACCAGGGTACAGAATTTCAGGAGGAGCTCCTGCTCAGGGTGGGCTGGGGCTGTCGTCTGGAGAATTTATTCTAATTTATTTTATTTATTTTTTAAAGGTTTTATTTGTTCATGAGAGACAGAGAGAGAAAGGCAGAGACACAGGCAGAGGGAGAAGCAGGGTCCACGCAGGGAGCTTGACGCAGGACTTGATCCCGGGTCCCCAGGATCACGCCCCGGGCTGAAGGCGGTGCTAAACCGCTGAGCCACCCAGGCTGCCCAATTCTAATCTATTTTAAATTGCCTACTTCTCTCTATGACTGTGTTTTGTCTGTTGAACTTACCCATGGATTTTTATTTTTGATGACTATGGCTTTTTTTCATATGTATATAGGTTTAATGCAATTCATATGAAAATTCCAGCTTTTCATATGTGCTATGTCACTTTTTATATTTTATGATTTCCTGCAGGTATTTAAAATCTTGCCTTTAATTTTTTTTTTTTTAACATAGTAGGCACACCTGTAATTGAATCTGACATCTTCAACGCCTGACCCTTGTGGGTCTGTTGTGCTGACTCACGTGTCTGCTGGCTCTCAGACGTGGTTTCTCATTCCTTGTGTGCTTGGTGAGTGTGCTGCTCTTTGCTTGCCCTCTGCGGCCTATAATGAAGTGCCTTTATCTAGGGAGGATTTATTTGCTCTGCCAGGTGCTTGGGGCCTATGAAGGAATCCAGATAATTATTATTTTTTAATTTTAAGATTTTTATTTGGTTAGTTCAACTTTGGTTGAATTTTTATTTGGTTCTCTCAACTTCCTTTTTGGTGTTTTACTATTTTTGATATATACAACTGCTTCTGCTTGCTGTCGTTTGCCTGGTCTATGGTGAGGGCAGCTGGGGGGCATCTCTGATGAGCCTAGCACCTTCTGAAGCCTGGTGGTGGCCATCCAAGATTGGCTGGTGTTGGCTTTCCCAGGCTGGCTACCCAGGCTGCTTCCTCAACGCTTCCAGAACCAGGTCACAGGTGACCGTGCCACTGGAGGCCTGGGGAAATTCCGAGTGTTCTGAGGACTCTGTAGCCATGACCGGGAGAGTGGACTTCCCAAAAAAGAAGCTTGCCCACCAGTGACTCAGGTTGGCCGTGGGGAGACTCCAGTGGTGAGGAATGGCTTCCCCAGGATGCTCCACTTGTGCAGGAGCCATTACTGGAAGAGGAACCCAGGTGGCACTGGTCATGGTCATGGGTGGCCGCCAGCCAGCTGCTGGAGGAGATGGCTGCCATGCTGTCACTTGTGGGCTGGTGGAAATCTTGGCAGTGACCTCCTGAGGGCCTCGACGTGTGATCACAAGTGGCAGGGGACAGGGACACTGGGCCACGGAGCCTATTTGGAGGTGAGACCACCAAAGGCCACTCCACAACCAAAGCATGCCTGGGGTGCATTTTTTGGATTTAAAGGATATAGCCATTGGTGTGTGGAGACTGGCTGTATTACTCATGCTAACTTTTCAGGAATTCTGAGAGCTCCACTATTAAACTATATCAATTCACAAATAAATAGTTCATGTTAAAAAAAAAGTAATACTGAAAACTCATTACTTTTAATTAAGTTACAACTTACTATTATTCATGTTTTTATTATCTGTGTTCACCTCTATTTTGTATCTGGGCAGTGGATATAGAACACACTGGCAGATACTATGCATCTTTTCCTAATTTTCCATGAAAATTAGGACTTGAGATCAACCATGATGACAGCATGGAAATTGGAAACTGCTACAAATCAGCCCTCTTCCCCACCTTCCAGAGTGCCAGGCATCATTCACCAGTTCACAACGGGATACAACTGAACTACCTTCCCAAAAGGCTATTCCAAGTTACACCTTCACCAGAAGTGTATTAGGTTTGCCTTTTTAATACTTTTTCATGCCAAGTGTCTTGTTAAGGAGCATTTTAACATGCATGTTGTTGAGGATAACTGCAAACGCCTGTCAGCTGTCGGTACACTGTGAGGTGCCTAGCTATCCTTTGGGTTATGTTTCTTTTGGGTTGACTGTCTTTCAAAAAAGGTGGGACAGGGCAGCCCAGGTGGCCCAGCGGTTTAGTGCCGCCTTCAGCCTAGGGCATGATCCTGGAGACCTGGGATAGAGTCCTGCGTCAGGCTCCCTGTGTGGAGCCTGCTTCTCCCTCTGCCCCCTCACCCCCCGCCTCTCTCTCTCTGGGAGAAGCAGGTTCCATGCAGGGAGCTCGATGTGGGACTGGATCCCGGGACCCTGGGTCATACTCTGAGTTGGAGGCAGATGCTCAACCGCTGAGCCCCCAGGGCCCACTGTGCTGCTTTTGATGTGCGTTTTTTCCCTCCTCATACTGAGGTTTGTTTCTCTTTATATAGTGCTATGTGCCCACTTTTTCCAGTGTCACTCTGAGGACACAGTTTCAGAAAAGTGTCTCTAAATGTTCCTGGAAGGAGCTGGAAGGCTGTGCATCGATGTTAGCTCAATGCAGGTCAGGGTGAGGTTGCTACCGTGTGTGTCACATGCACGCTCTTGAGTCCGACCTCGCATCCTGTCTTCACACACAGTTTTGCCACGTGTCAGGTGCGAGTTGCCCTAGTCATGGTTGTGCCCGACACACTGGCGTGCGGAGGAACGTTCCCTAACTGGGCCATTTTCTGAAGCGTCTGCAATGACTAGGATTGCTCTTGTGAGGGAAAATCTAAGAAAATCCAAGCTCCTTGGAAGTGTGGGATGTAGGTGGGGCTCCGCGGCCCCCTCTTGTCTGCGGCAGGAGCCCCACCACCCCCGGGCCCGGATGGGGACAGTCGCACCCCCGGGACCCTCCAGGGTCGGGGCCTGCGCAGGACCCCGGCCGCGCCAGCAGGGGGCGCCCCTCCCTCAGCTTCCCGCCCCCCCCCCCCCCCCCCCCCCCCCCCCCCCCCCGTCAAACGACGGTGCAGCGTGGCTCTGAGGCTCCGAGACCCCCCGCCCCGGCCCCGGAGAGAACAAGCGCACACCGGCGGAGGCTTCCTGCGTGGACTTTACTCCGAGTCCGAGCTCGCGGCGGGGGGGGGGGGCTGGGGGTCCCGCACCCCCCAGTTCAGCCGTAGCGGGAGGCCAGCGCCGAGGTCACGTGGCTCAGAAACTTGTGCAGCGACGCGTGCATGGCGGGCGCGAGGTCTCCGGGGTAGTGGCGGGCGAGGGTCACCAGCAGGCAGTGGCTCAGGAGCTGAGGGCACAGGCAGCCGTCGCGCGCGCCCCCCCCCGCCCCCCGCCCGGCCGCGGCGGGTCCCGCGGGCTCACCTGGAAGTGCGCGGGGTCCACGCGCAGCCTGTGGGCGTGCAGGGCGCCGAGGGCGGACAGGGCGCCGGGCAGGTCGTCCAGGTGGGCCATGGCGGTGGTCAGCGCGTCGGCCACCTTCTGGCCGTGGGCCTTGACCTGGGCGGAGCCGGGGCTCAGGTCGAAGTGCGGGAAGTAGGTCTTGGTGGCGGGGAAGGAGCGGAAGGTCCTGCGGGAGGAAGGGCAGGTGAGCCGCGAGGGGGGGGGGCTGCGGGGGGGAGAACGAGGGCCGCGGGGGAGGGGAGGGGGCTGCGGGGGGAGGACGAGGGCCGCGGGGGGGGAACGACAGGGGCCGCGGGGGGGGAGGGGGCTGCGGGGGGAGGACGAGGGCCGTGGGGGGGACGACAGGGGCCGCGGGGGGGGAGGGGGCTGCGCGGGGGAGGGACGAGGGCCGCGCGGGGGGCTGCGGGGGGAGGACGAGGGCCGGGGGGGGGACGACAGGGGCCGCGGGGGGGGAGGGGGCTGCGCGGGGGAGGGACGAGGGCCGCGGGGGGAGGGACGAGGGCCGCGCGGGGGGCTGCGGGGGGAGGACGAGGGCCGTGGGGGAGGGACGACAGGGCCGCGGGGGGCTGCGGTGGGAGGACGAGGGCCGCGGGGGGATACAAGGGCCGCGAGGGGAGGAGGGGCCGCGGGGCGGGGGGGCACCTCTCCAGGGCCTCGGTCGCGTAGATCCCGACGTTGCCGCCCAGCTTCCTCCACAGGGCGCGCACCGCCGCCCTGTCCTCGCCCGACAGCGCCATCGCCATCGCGCCCCTGCTCCGCGCCCGGGTCCCCGCGACCTCCAGGGGGCGCCACGCCGCGTCTGCTGCGGAGCCAGGCGCTCAGGGGCCCGGGGGGCGGGGACCAAGCCCACTCTGTACTGTTCACTATATGGAAACGAAGAATGTATTATCAGCCTTAGAATTAGGGGACCCTGGAGTGTAGCAGGGACTTTGACATTGAACGTCAGCTTATTCTCCCTCCCTTCCTCCAGAGGCTTCTAGAACACTCTATTTTCACATTTATAGTGTAAAATGAACATAAAGATGTCGTCTTCCCAAAGTTGTTGTGAGAATTAAGCGGATAAGATGTCAAGCGCCTGGCTCATGGCACATGTTCCTTTCAGGATAGCCAGCATTTATTAAGTGCCTTGCACGTATCTCCATAGCAATGCCAATACCTATGGGGCGCTCACTCCTTGCCAGGCACCACTCTACACAAACTTGGTGGGGGGCACCTAGTGGTTTAGTCCATTAGGTGACACACTTTATTTTTTTTAAGGTTTTATTTATTTATTCATGAGAGACACAGGCAGAGGGAGAAGCAGGCTCCATGCAGGGAGCCCGATGTGGGACTCCATCCCAGGACCCCAGGGTCACACCCCAGGCTGAAGGCAGGCACTAAACGACTGAGCCACCTGGGCTGCCCTTATTTTACTTTTTATTTATTTTTGGAATGGGAGAGAGAATCTTAAGCTGGGTGTGGAGCTGGATGCTGGGCAGGATCTCACAACCTTGAGATCATGACCAGAGCTGAAATCAATTCTGAGTCTTAACCAACTGAGTCACCCAGGCGCCCACCCCCCACCATGTTGGCCATTTTGAAGTTGTAGAATCCAGTGTCTTTAACCACATTCACATCTGTGCAGCCACCACTACCACCATCCCAAGTGGAAACTTTGTCCCCATTAACAGTCACTCTGTAACCCCTCTCCTCCAGGCCCACAAGTCAGCTGTCTCTGTGGATTTGCTTATTCTGGATATTTCATATAAGAGGAACCATACATTTTTGTGTCTGGCTTCTTTCATTTAGCACACTTTCCAGTTCCTTGACACTGTGGCCTCTGTCAGGGCTTCAGAGCTCTTAATGGCTGAATAATATTCCACTGTATGGATAGATTACATTTTCTTTATCCATTCATCCCCTGCCAGAGATCTGGGTTGTTCCCACCTGGAGCCCAGGTCCTCATTTTTCCCAACAATAAGTAAAGGAAGGCCACCTCTTACTGAGAGCTCATGCTGTGTCACCAGCTGTGCTAACGGTATCACAGAGACCTGCCATGTCATTTTCCAAGGATGACTTTCAGGACCAGATACCTAAGGCGCTAGGGGCTTACTTTGAGGGGAGGAAGCATTTGGGAGCACTGGCTCCCAGGACTTGGCTCTTCTCTGTTGCAGTGTGTGTGTGTGTGTGTGTGTGGTGGGGCGGGAGGGGGAGTGTTGGTGGACCTCAGGGGTGCTGCCGGTATCTGGGCTATGCAGTAAATGCTGAGCTAGCCTCAAAAACCAGGCCTCCAGATCCATGGTGCCCCAGGATGTCATCATGTTCAGAGCGAGTGTCCTGGAAGTGACACCAAGTGAAAGAGGTGCTGCCGGGAAAGGTCTGGCATCTACGATTGCACTGCTTACCCTGATTTCATCTAGATTGTGTGGTATTTGGGAAGTTTGATGGGTGGGGGCATTTGGTGCCACTTCCGGGAGCCTGACCTCTTGTCTCTTCCCACCACCCAAAAGCAGGAGAGCTCAGAGGTCCAGGCTGGAGGTGCATTAACTCTCAGACCAAGTGTATGTCTTCAAATGTAAAGATGGAAACCAGGGCAGCCCCAGTGGCGCAGCGGTTTAGCGCCCCCTGCAGCCCGGGGTGTGATCCTGGAAACCCGGGATCGAGTCCCACATCGGGCTTCCTGCATGCATGGAGCCTGCTTCTCCCTCTGCCCCTGTCTCTGCCTCTCTCTGAATGAATAAATAAATAAATATTTAGAAAAAAAAATAAAGATGGAAACCAGTTCCTCATTTGAGCAAATCCCAGCTGAATCTGCAAAGCTCTTAAGTGAAATGCAGGACATCAAATAAAGGGAGCCGAGGACTCCTGGGTGTGGCCAGGGAGCAGGCCTGCGATTCCCAGGCAGTGGCAGTCCCCAGGGGAGGCCAGCCGCACTCCCCTCAGCTGCCCTATGCTTCCCACCCCCCACCCCCCCACCCCTGCTCCTGCGGGGAGGAGACCACCCGCACCGCCCGCAGACAAAGACAATGGAGGCCTTCAGAGGCTGCAGCCCACTCAGACTTTATTCAAACATCAGGAAGTGCAGGGCACGGGCGCAGGAGGCCGCCCAGGGGCCCAGGGCAGGGGCTCCCGCCACCGAGGCTGCAGCTTAACGGTACTTGGAGGTCAGCACAGTGCTCACGGTGGTGAAGAACTTGTCCAGGGAGGCGTGGACGGCAGGGGTGAATTCGGTGGGGTGGTGGCAGGCCAGGGTCACCAGCAGGCAGTGGCTCAGGAGCTGCGGAGGGAGGGGCCGTCAGCGGGGGCGCAGGCTGCACCGCGGGGAGCCCTCGGGGTCTCTGTGCCCCCCCCCAGGTGTGTCCTGGCCTGGCCCGCGGCTCACCTTGAAGTTGACGGGGTCCACCCGCAGCTTGTAGGCGTGCAGGTCGCTGAGGGCAGACAGGGCGCTGGGCAGGTCGTCCAGGTGGGCCACGGCGGTGGTCAGCGCGTCGGCCACCTTCTTGCCATGGGCCTTGACCTGGGCGGAGCCGGGGCTCAGGTCGAAGTGCGGGAAGTAGGTCTTGGTGGTGGGGAAGGACTGGAAGGTCCTGCGGGAGGAAGGGCCGGTGAGCCGGGGCGGGGGCGTGGACAGGGGCTGCGGGGGGAGGACAGGGGCCGCGGGGGGGAGGACAAGGGCCACAGGAGGGGGGACGGGCAGGGGGAGGGACAGGGGCCCCTTGGGAAGGGCAGGGGCTGTAGGGGAAGTACAGGGGCCACGGGGGGGGGGGAGGACAAGGGCTGCGGGGGGAGGACAAGAGGCCGCGGGGGAAGAACAGGGGTTTGGGGGGAGGACAGGGGCCCAGGGAGGCAGACACGGAGCGCGGGGGGCGCCGAGCCCCAGCGCCGGGGAGAGCTGGGTGCTCACCTGTCCAGCGCTTCTCCGCCGTAGTCGCCGGCGTGGCCACCAATCTTATCCCAAGTGGACTTGATGTTGGTCTTGTCGGCGGGAGACAGCACCATGGTGGGTTCTTTCTGAGTCTGAGGAGAACCAGAAATGCGCGGGGCGGGGAGGCCGTGGAGGCTTTATGCCCGGGGCACGGGGGGGGGGGGGGGGGGGGGGCACGCCCATCGGGGCCAGTCTCATTGGCTGGCGGGGGTGGGTGTGGGGGGGGCTCGCTGGGGCAGACCGACTGGAGGTTCCCTCCCGCCCACCTCTCCAGCCCCGCTAGCACCGCCAGGGCCCCGGCTGGTGGGGGTCGATGCAGGGGGGCTCAGGGACACCCTGGAGGGTCCCCGAGCGCCCCTAGCCCCCCGCTGCGCGCTCCTGAGGATCCTAAGGGACACCTGCCCTGTTGTAGGCTTGGCGCTCGCAGCCCGTCTGGGTTAACTAGAGCGGTATCGGTGAAAGACTGAGTGGTTGAGGGCGGACAAAAGGCCTGCCTGGTCTGGGGCGGAGAGAGGTGCACACAGGGGGGTCTCCCTCCCACCAACTCCGGAATTGGCACCTGGAGCGCCTCCTGCTCCCTTCAGACACGCTCCTCCTAACCCCTCCTCCCCACGAATTCTCATTGAGCTGTCGCCCTGCGGATAAACCCCCAGCGGCCCAGGGGGCAGAGCTGGGGCAGGCGGGCTCCAGGCTCCAGGTCCTCCGTCCAGGGTGGTGGGTCTGCGAGACTCAGAGGCAGCGCTCTCCTGTTAGGGACCTTGTGTGAGCCACTGTCCCCACCGCTGTGCTCACAATGACACACCCAGTTCTACAAATCGTGCTTGACACTGGACTCACTGGGCCAGTAGTGGTTAAGTTGAGAACTAAAGCGACTTTCTGGACAGGACCTGAGCTTTCAGTTGGGGACAGTCATCCGATCACCACGCAAGGGCACAGAGAGTGGAAAGCCTTGTTAAAAGACTCAGGAAACGTGGGCAGCCCTGGTGGCTCAGCGGTTTAGCGCCGCCTGCAGCCCAGGGCATGATCCTGGAGACTCAGGATCAAGTCCCACATCAGGCTCCCTGCAAGGAGCCTGCTTCTTGCTCTGCCTCTCTCTCTCTCTCGCTCTCTCTCTCTCGCTCTCTCTCTGTGTCTCTCGTGAATAAATAAATAAAAATCTTAAAAAAATAAAATCTTTAAAAAAAGAAAAGAAAAATTAAAAAAAAAAAGACTCAGGAAATGTGCAGGGAGTGGGTGAGGCATTGGAGGGCATCAGGGTTAGTCTGAAGGTCACGGGTGGCTTCCCTAGGGGAGTGAGGCTGGGGGATGAGTGTGCATTAGACAAAATAGGGTGGACAGGGAAGCTGACTTGAGGGTGGGGAGGGGGATAAAAGGCCTCTATGGCTGGAGTGGGGGTGGGGAGCTGTGGGGACTACGACCAGGTGCTGGGCAGACACTGCAGTGTGGGGGAAGGGGAGGACCCCCAGCTGGTATCGTTCCCTTACTGGTACCAAGTCCCCTGGGCTAGTTGGTGGCAGGAGGGTACTGAGGACACGACAGAACAGGGAGTGAGAAGCTGTTGACACGTCCTCTCCTGGGAAGAAGACTGAGCTCTGGGGAGGGGCTGGGTGGGCACCGTCCCTCGGGATCTCCCCGTGTGTCCAGGAAGAAGTATCTGTCAAACTGCCTGGGACGCAGAAGAAAGAAGCTCCAGACAAGCCTCAGCAATTCTCTCCTGCTCTGCCCCTTGAGTCTGTTCTTATTTTGTACATGCTGGGCCTCCCCCCGGCTGCTTCCACTCTCCCTACCCACCCTCCACTCTTTTCCTGATTCTGTTACAGCCAAAGGCCCAATCCTGGCCTCCCGAAAAGGATAGGACACTGCGGGCTTAGAGGGCTCAAAGACCTGCCCCCAGGCCTGGGACAACCCCCCCTTCTGCATCTGGTTCCAGTCCTCCTGCCACTGGGTCCTTTTTATTTATTTTATTTTTTTAAAGGATTTTTTATTTATTTATTCATGATAGAGAGAGAGAGGCAGAGAGAAAAGCAGGCTCCATGCCGGGAGCCTGACGTGGGACTCGATCCCGGGACTCCAGGATCACGCCCTGGGCCAAAGGCAGGCTTGAAACCGCTGAGCCACCCAGGGATCCCCTACTGGGTCCTTTTTAGATGAGACTTGGGGAACATATCTCAGCCAATGGCTTAGATTCCTACTATGCGAAGAGCTCCCACATATATATAAGAGGGAAAAACAAAGACTTACGGGAACAGTTGACAAAGGTTATTAACAGGAAATTAACAGAAATACAGAAATGACCATTAATGAGGCCGCTGGGTTAGCCCAGTCAGTCAGGCATCCTACTCTTGGTTTCTGCTCCGATCGTGGCCTCAGGGTCATGAGATGGAGCCCCACCACAGCTCGGAGCTCAGTGCTCAGTGGGCTTGTCCCTGTCCCTCTTCCTCCCCACCCTCTCTCTGTCTAATAAATAAATAAATAAATAGATAAATCTTAAAAAAAAAAAAAGGGTGGCAGTCTTAGCCTCCCCTGCTTGTCACTGCAGAGAGGAACCCTGGAAGCCTGGCACCTCCTGGGACTGGAGCATGACTCCACTCATTCCAGGAAGCCTCAGCTTTAGTTCCAAGAGCCACTGAGGCCCGCAGAGGTCCCCTGCGGGGAGGAGACCACCCGCACCGCCCGCAGACAAAGACAATGGAGGCCTTCAGAGGCTGCAGCCCACTCAGACTTTATTCAAACATCAGGAAGTGCAGGGCACGGGCGCAGGAGGCCGCCCAGGGGCCCAGGGCAGGGGCTCCCGCCACCGAGGCTGCAGCTTAACGGTACTTGGAGGTCAGCACAGTGCTCACGGTGGTGAAGAACTTGTCCAGGGAGGCGTGGACGGCAGGGGTGAATTCGGTGGGGTGGTGGCAGGCCAGGGTCACCAGCAGGCAGTGGCTCAGGAGCTGCGGAGGGAGGGGCCGTCAGCGGGGGCGCAGGCTGCACCGCGGGGAGCCCTCGGGGTCTCTGTGTCCCCCCCCAGGTGTGTCCTGGTCTGGCCCACGGCTCACCTTGAAGTTGACGGGGTCCACCCGCAGCTTGTAGGCGTGCAGGTCGCTGAGGGCAGACAGGGCGCTGGGCAGGTCGTCCAGGTGGGCCACGGCGGTGGTCAGCGCGTCGGCCACCTTCTTGCCATGGGCCTTGACCTGGGCGGAGCCGGGGCTCAGGTCGAAGTGCGGGAAGTAGGTCTTGGTGGTGGGGAAGGACTGGAAGGTCCTGCGGGAGGAAGGGCCGGTGAGCCGCAGGGGGGGGCATGGGGGGAGGACAAGGGCTGCAGGAGGGGGACAGGGGCGGGGGACAGGGGGTAAGGACAGGGGCCGTGGGGGAAGGACAGGGGCCGTGGGGGAAGGACAGGGGCCACGGGGGGAGGACAGGGGCCTCGGAGGGGGGTGCTGGGCAAGGGGACAGGGGCCCCAGGAGGTGGACTGGGGCTGCCTGGGGGGGACAGGGGCCGCAGGGGGGGGACAAGGGCCGCAGGAGGGGGACAGGGGTGGGGGTGGGGGGACAGGGGCCGCAGGAGGGGGATGGGGGCCATGGGGTAAGGACAGGGGCCGCGGGGGAAGGACAGGGGCTGTGGGGGGAGGACAGGGGCCGTGGAAGGGGGCACTGGGCAGGGGGACAGGGGCCCCGGCAGGTGGACTGGGGCCACTGGGGGGGACAGGGGCCGCAGGGGGTGGACAAGGGGCGCAGGAGGGGGACAAGGGTGGGGTGGGATAAGGACTGTGGGAGGGGCACAGGGGCCATGAAGTAAGGACCGGGGCAGAGGGTGGGGGGGGGGAGGCGGACAGGGGCCGTGGAGGTGGGGACAGGGGCCACAGGAGGGGGACAGGTGCTGGGGAAGGACAGGGGCTGCAGGGGTGGGAACAGGGGCCGCGGGGGGCGGCCGAGCCCCAGCGCCGGGGACAGCTGGGTGCTCACCTGTCCAGCGCTTCTCCGCCGTAGTCGCCGGCGTGGCCACCAATCTTATCCCAAGTGGACTTGATGTTGGTCTTGTCGGCAGGAGACAGCACCATGGTGGGTTCCTTCTGAGTCTGAGGAGAACCAGAAATGTGCGGGGTGGGGAGGCCTCGGAGGCTTTATGCCAGGGCCGCGGGGGCGGGGCACACCCGTCGGGGCCACGCTCATTGGCTGGCCCAGTGCCCCGAGGTCCCCGGAGCAGGTGGGGGGGTCCCAAGGCCGCTCTCACTCTCTGTCCTGTGTCCTGCGCAGACCGAGCTCAGCTCCCCGTGGCACCCTCCCTTCTGGCTCCTGTGGTTCCCAGGATCCCACACGGGGTCCCGAACTGCCCCCCCCCCGCCCTGCTTTTGGCTCTGAAACTAGGGTATTTGCCGACTGGGGAGGGGAGCACAATATTTTCCGATGTGAACAAGCTGCTTTTGCCCCAAACATCCACCAGGATGGAGAGCTGTCGATTGTCCATGTAAAGAGCCGTGGTGAGGGAGATTATGTGGTCCTTCAAGCCCTCTTTCCCCCATGCTGGGCAGGCGCTCCTGGGCAGTGCCAGGTGACCGGTGCAGGCGTGGACTGAGGAGTGCGGTGGGTAGCTGGGCAGGGCCACAGGCAGGGCCTATCTCGTGGCATCCTTCGGATTGGGCACCAACAGCCAGGTCAGCGCAGTGCTCCCAGCACTGACCAAGATTGTCAACTGGGAACCTTCATTGTTCAGTCTGGCGAACTCCCTGAATCCCACTCCCTGCCTCGCTCCCTTGTCCGAGAAGGTTCTGAGTAGTAGATGGCTAAGATTCCTGCCCTGATGCCGCGGAGAGGGGAGAGACTGACCCCGGGGACCACGGTGGGATGGGACTGAGGGGACCAAGCCTTGGTTGGGGGAATCATAGAAAGTGAAAGGAGCCCCTTGAGCTGGAGTGGGGGTTGGGTGGCCCTGGATCTGCCAGGCACTGATCTTGCTTTATCATCTTTTTTTTTTTTTTAAGATTTTATTTATTCTTGGGAGACACACAGAGAGAGGCAGAGACACAGGCAAAGGGAGAAGCAGGCTCCACGCAGGGAGCCCGATGTGGGACTCAATCCTGGGTCTCCATGATCACGTCCTGGGTGGAAGGCAGACGCTGAACCGCGGAGCCCCCCCGGGGCGTTCCTCTGCTTTATGATCTTATAAATTATGTCAAAGACCCAGTGAGGAGTCAGGTTTTTTGTTTGTTTCCACACGCTCTGCATTAGGCTCACATTGCTCGGGGACAGGTCCTGTATCAGCCAGCGGCTGTGTGAACAGGGTTAGAAACCTACTCTGTCTGCCAGAGGGTGGCGGTGGGAGTTCCTACCCCGGTGCCCCCCGCCCCAGGACCTTCAGAGGAACGGGCTAGCGTGGCTAGGGCAAAGTTTGCTGTGGACTGAGTGTCAGGGGAATGGGGGGGAAGCAAAGGCCTTGAGGAGTCCCAACCGTTTGACCAGAGCCCAGGAACTTGGCCGTTGGGGGTGGGCGGTGCTGGTATTTGTCAGCAAAAGACGTGAGAATTCAAGCTGGTAGCGCCCAGCGGGAAGGATGGAGGCAGGTTCCAGGAGGGAGTGAACGCACACGTGCTTTGTGAACGGTGTCGCTGTGTGAGAGCACCAGGCCAGGGCCCCCTCATGTCAGCGCCCCCGGTGCCCCCCTCATTGCCCCATCGCCCCTCGGCAACGGTTCTGTCCAAGGCTTTGGGGATCCACACCCTGCCCGACCCGGGACTATAACCAAGGAATTGTCCCCATTTCAGAGTCCCGGGCCCCTGTCCCCGGTGCTCGAGGGTTGGGGTGGCGCCCTAAGGTGCCCCGAGGTGCCCGCCCGCAGCCCACAGAGCACACAGGCGCCGGCGCCGCTTGACCCGTGTTTATTGACACGCGGGGATGTGGGCGGGGGCGCGGGCTCAGCGGTACTTCTCCGTCAGCACCACAGCCACGCCCGTCAGGAACTTGTCCCACGCCGCCTGCATCTCCACGGTGAACTCGTCCTGCAGGTGGGAGGCCAGCACCACCTGGAAACACTGGATCAGCAGCTGCGGAGGCACAGGTGCGGGTGAGGGCGCTGCCTCCGCGGGCCCTGCTGCCCCCCGCCCGCCCCCCCGAGGCCGCGGCGCGCTCACCGGGAAGTTGGAGGGGTCCACGCGCAGCACCTGGGCGTGCAGGTCGGCCAGCGGCCTCAGCGCGGCGCGCAGGTTGTCCAGGTGCTGCACGGCCACGCCCACCGCCTCCAGCATGCGCCGCCCGTGGCTCAGCAGCTGCGCCTCGTCGGCGCAGGGGCCCAGGTGCGGGAAGTAGGTCTTGGTGCTGGGGTACACGGTGAAGAGCCTGCGCGCCGGGCGCCGGTGAGGACGGCCGCCCCCCACCCCGGGCATCCCGGGTACCCCCCCGGGCCCCGCCCCCCAGCGCCCCCAGGCACCCCGGGCCGCGCCCCCGCCCCCGCCGCAGCCCACCTGAGCAGCAGCTCCGCCCCAAAGGCCGCCTCGTGGCCCGCGATCAGGTCCCAGACCTGCGCTACCTGGGCGCGCTCCTGGGCGCTGAGCATGGCGCCGCCGGGGCTGCTTTGCGCCCTCCCGCCACGCCCGCCTCCTTATAGCGGCCCCCCCGCGCCCAGGCGCCGCCCGCGCTTATCTGCGGGGCCCACGGTGGGGAACCGCAGGCAGAGCCAGGGTGCGGGGGCGCGGGGGGCCGCACACTCGGGGAGCAAAATTCTCGCCCCCGCGCTCCCGTCCCTCGCCTGCTTCCGGCCAACACGCAGAACGCGGGAGCCGCTCCGTCCTCAGCCTTTTATTGGGGACACGCGGGAGGCACGCAGGGGAGGGCGCGCGGGGGCGCAGGCGGGGGCGCTCAGCGGTACTTCTCGGTCAGGACGCAGGACACGAGCGACAGGAACTTGTCCCACGCGGCGTGGGCGTCGGCCGTGAGGTCGGCGGGGAAGTGCGAGGCCAGGGTGACCAGCAGACAGTGGGACAGCAGCTGCGCCGAAGGGAGGGCCTGGGTGAGCACGGGCGGCGCCTGGGGACCCTGGAGACCCTGGGGACCCCCCCCGCCCACCTTGAAGTTGACCGGGTCCACGCGCAGGATGTAGGCGTGCAGCTCGCTCAGCCTGGACAGGGCGCCCGCCACGTCGTCGAGGCTGCGCACCGCGTCGCCCAGCGCGGCCACCACCTTGGCGCCGTGCGCCCGCAGGTGCGCCGAGCCCGCGCGCAGCTCGAAGTGCGGGAAGTAGGTCTTGGTCTGCGGGAAGCTGGCGAAGAGCCTGCGGGCCAAGGCGGCGCCACTGACGCGTGGGAAGCCCCGTCCTCCCCCCACGACACGTTGTAACGGATGTTTTAGGACAGAAACAGGGACGCGAACCTCCCCGTGGACCCGCACGCGCCCCGGTGTGGCACAAGGGCAGGCCCGCCTGGCCGACTCTCCCCGGTCCCCGGGCCCCCACCCCGGGCTCGGCACAAGCCCACCCCAGCGGCCCATGGCTCAGCAGTTCCTTCCTTCCTATCTTCCTTCCTTCCTTCCTTCCTTCCTTCCTTCCTTCCTTCCTTCCTTCCTTCCTTCCTTCCTTCCCTCACTGCGTGGAGGTGGGGGAGACCCGGGTGCCAGGCCCCTTCACCATGCACCTCCCCTTCTTGGGCACTGATCCCGTGCCCCCCCCCCCCCCCCCCCCCGCCCCCGGGCCTCACTAACCCGCACTGTCACCTCCTGGCCCCAGCGCAGCCCATCAGGCACTGACCTCTCCAGGGCCTCGGTGCCAATAGCATCCGCCTGCGTGGAGATCTTGCCCCACATGGACAGGATGATTGTCCTCTCGGCCTTGGTCAGAGACATGGTGGAGCTGAGTGGGAGCTGGGCGTGCTCAGGACCGGCCTGTGGGGTGCTCAGCCCCCAGCGTCCCTTTATATACGTGGAGCCAGGGTGGGGGCCAGGCTGTGGCCACTGGCCTGGAGAGGGGAGAGGGCCGTGGGGGTGGGGTGTCTTATCAGACCCAGTAAGGATGGCTGGTCAGGGCCTGATGGGACTCTGGGCCGAGGGGCTCTCACTCAGGCCTCCCCACTGCTGGGCCACAGGTCAGTCCAAGTTCCTGGGAGATAGGGGCCCAGGCCCGGGTGGAGAGTCACCATGTCAGCCCAGCCCCGTGACTGGCCTCCACGCTCACTGTCCTTGTGATGGAAGGGTGACCTGGAGTGTGTCAGGCTCTCACAGAAGCACTCTCTCCTCCTCCCTCTGCTTCTGCTCTGTGGGGCCACCTTAGGAAGCACTTTACAGATGAGTGAACACAGGGTCACAGAGGGAGACTGAGACCAGCTGTCACAGAGCATGACAGTCTTCACACACAGCCTGGATGACACGAGCTTACAGTCCCAACGGCCACGTTTCCACCACAGCCTCTACTCCTTATTTCCATCTCTTTACCCTCCTAGCTTACACCCTTTCCCTAACCCCCATAAGGTGCTTAACATGTTCCTTTAGTTACTATGTGTTCTTGCAAAGGGTCCATTTTTAGTCATGTATTTTAAGTTAAATTATAGCTTGATTTTTAAAATTTAATGTAATGAACGTTTCTTCGTAAGCACACCTTTTTTGAAAGATAGGAAGTTTTAGGGGCTCCCTGTTTAGCGGAGAGCCTGCTTCTGCCTCTCTCTCTGCTCCTCCCCCTGATTGTGCTCTCTATCAGAAAAATAAATCTTGGGATCCCTGGGTGGTGCAGCGGTTTGGCGCCTGCCTTTGGCCCAGGGCGCGATCCTGGAGACCCGGGATCGAATCCCATGTCGGGCTCCCAGTGCATGGAGCCTGCTTCTCCCTCTGCCTATGTCTCTGCCTCTCTCTCTCTCTCTCTGTGTGACTATCATAAATAAATAAAAATTAAAAAAAAAAGAAAAATAAATCTTTTTTTGTTACATTTTATTTATTCATGAGAGACACAGAGAGAGGCAGAGACACAGGCAGAGGGAGAAGCAGGCTCCACGCGGGGAGCCCAGCGCGGGACTCGATCCCGGGACTCCAGGATCACGCCCTGGGAGGAAAGGAGATGCTCAGCCACTGAGTCACCCAGGCGTCTCTGCATTGTGCATATATTTAAGGTTTTTATTTTACTTTTAAAAATATTTTGCTTATTTAAGAGAGAAAGAGAGAGAGAGAGTGTGTGTGTGTGTGTGTGTGTGTGTGTGTAATCACGGAGACTATGCCTGAGAGCTCACATGGGGTGACTTATTGTTCCCATTCCAAGGGGGCCTCAGCTCTGGAGGGGGCCAGTTAGCATTATGTCTTCGAAGGCTTCCTAAAAGCCACCATCATTGCTCATAAAAACAATGCATAGGGGATCCCTGGGTGGCCCAGCGGTTCAGCACCTGCCTTAGGCCCAGGGCGTGATCCTGGAGACCTGGGATCCAGTCCTAGTCCGGTGTCGGGTTCCCTGCATGGAGCCTGCTCTCTCTCTCTATGTCTGTCCTGAATAAATAAATAAAAATCTTAAAAAAAAAAAAAAAGAAAAAAACAATGCATGGTTCTTTAGAGCCCTCGAGGGAGTCTGCAGACGGTGGGTCCATAGAAATCCCTTATATCTCACACACTAACATTTTAGTGCTGTTCTCTTCATTTAGCTGAATTATCTCGAAAAGCATCTTTGTGTCGTGCAGTTGCGCCCGCGTGCACCCATCACAAGTGCCCCCGGGTCAGCTGCAAGCAGCCCTCCGCGGCTCCTGTGGGCCCTCGCTGGCTCGGTGCTCCCGTTCCTGGGAGCAGGCCTGTGGTTTAGCAGGAGCTACTCCCACGCCCAGGTCTTCACACACATGAGGACGACATCCAGGCCCCAAGCTGGGGAGAGGGCCCACAGGACACTGCCAAGCCCCTATCTTGGAAGCTCCTCCCAGGAAGGGTCCCGACAGCGTGAGCTCGGCCTTGGGGGGGGGGGGGAGCGGCAGTCACTGTGGAGTAGGAATTGTTCTTGGGGTTCCAGCCCTGAGCTCCCTCCTTCCAGCCTTGAATCCCCAGAGGCTCGGGCAGAGGCAGGGGCTGCAGATGAGCCCAACCTTCAGCTCCAGGGTGCTTGGTGCTTTGGTGGGAGGAGCTGGGGAGAAGGAGGGACTAGGGCGTGCACAGTATCCCCCCTCCTACAGCTGGGGTCTTGTTTTGTCCCCGAGCTGGAGCCCGGAGCCCATCCCAGGCTCACCTCCCAGCCTTTGCCTGAGCGCTTAGCACAGCTAAGAGCACCCTTTGCCCCCAAGATTTTCCATCCTTCCTCTCTCCTCCTTGATAGGCTTGGGTCCTGACCCCCTAAACTTGAGCTGAGGTAGTTCCTCAGTCCCATGAGTTTCACCTCCCTCTGTGACCAGCCTGGGCTGACACCCACATAGACACCATCCCGAGCTCACACTCTCCAGAGAGCGTTTCACCTCCTCACCTGTGCATCTTGAATCAAGCCTGATCTGGCCCTCAAAGCCTGCTCCTCCGTCCTTCCATCCTTCCTCCTGTCCCCTGGCCATGGTGGTGGCAGCACCATCTCTTCCCAAGGCCCAGGTCAGAGACCCCAGCCCTCCCGGACCTTCCTGCTCCCGGCGTGGTTTCTTTTTTTTTTTTTTTTTCCCCCGGCGTGGTTTCTGGTCTCTCCCGCTCCCTGTGCTCCTCAGCCTCCGTGGGGCCTCCTGCCTGGAAGACTCTTCCCCAACATTGTCACTCACTCAAGTGCCACTGGGTTTATAGGCTCACAGTGACCACGGCATTTAAAATGGCAACTCGCTACCCCTGCCTGTGCAATCTCCCACCAGCTCTATTTTTTTTTTTCCACTCAGAAAATAAATGTTTTTGTTTGTTTTCCACTAGAATGTGAACTCAGAAAAGCAGAGAATTTTTCTTTCGGCATAGTTTCCTGTTCTATTCCAAGCATCCCAAAGAGTCAGGACTTCCCAGAGCAAGCTCCCCAAAAGTTCTTGTTGAGTGAATTAGAAGTCCTCAACCCCAAGGCTGCCCTTCCGGAGCCGGAGCCGGTGGCCCTGCCTGCCCGGCTGCCCAGACGCTGGGCCCCAGGTGGGAGCACCAGGAGTGCTCGGTCACTGCCTGCCCAATGGTAGGGAAGCGGGCTGTTCCTGCCTTCGTGGGGCTGACAACATATTCAAGTCTTCAGATCCACCACCACAAATAGGCACTGGTTTTTTGGAACGTGAAGGTTCCCTGGGGTCATCTGGGGTCTGGGGTCAACTGAGGCCCACAGTGGAGAGGTTTTGCATAGTCACAGAGCCCCTGGGAGGCAGGGCCGTGGCCTCCGGAGACTCACACTCAGGTCACTCCCTGGCCTCTCCCATGCTGATGCCAAAGGCCAGGCTGCTGGCCGGCAGCTCTAGGACACACCTCACACCCCACCCCCATGCTCCTGGGCAGGGGTCCTTCTGGGTCAGAGTCCTCCCTGGGGAGGGGGTCCCAGCTGGGCACCTCCCCTCAGGACAGAGTCTCTCTGCAGCACTGAGAATCCCAGACCCTAATGTCGGGCCAGTAGGAGGAATAATCTCTGGCACGCTCCCGAAACCCCCAGAAGCTCCATGCATCCTTCATGGATTACATTTGAGCCCCTATC